AGCGGTGATAATTGTCAACAGATTCTCCAACAAAGTTGCTAAACACAAATCCTCCAGCCAAGCCAAGAAGAAGAGGGCCGAACAAGGAAGGATGGGATCTCAAGGACCAACGACGATTCCTCAATTATCAAAAGAGTAATAAGGAGATGGATATCATGATAGGAACAGCATGGACAAAGAATACACAAGGATCAAAGATTACAACTTGAGAGTTGCCTTTATACATAAATTATTGCAACATGGTAATAATGGCAATAAATGCAACCTCTATTATCTCTAGTAAATATCTTCACTCTGTAATGTGCAATCCTCATATTATAAATGAGGAATACAACAATCTTTCTTCTAAAGTTCCTTCAAGATCAAAGAGAATAAACTTGAAAGTGGTGATGGGAGAAGGAAGGATGACCAGTTAGGGGCTTTCGAGTGGAGTGCTTGATCTCGTTTTTGGTGCTAACCTTGCTGCTTGATCCTCTAATGCTCAAGAAGAATCACCTAAAAGCGGGAACCAAGGCATGCTGTCCCTTCCTAGCCATGGTGTGTTGTAGGTCTAGAATTGTTTTGCGGTGCTGAAGATGCAGAAAATAATGAAGTATTCAGTAGTTTCTTTTTGGGTGATTTTGGTGTATGGAATGAGGGGTTAAAGATGAAAAATTCTTTGGATGAAGATTGAAGGTCTGGTGTGTGGGGTAGAGAACTGGAAAAATGGGGAAGGAAGTTGGAAAACATCCTAGGTTCTTCTTTTGGGAAAAATAATATATACATGTCCAGTGGTATTTTTATAATTTTCAAGTTGTGCAGTGGCTGATAGGTAGGTTTGGACAAGCTGTCAAGCTCTTAGTGGCTCTCGACACTATTAGCAATTCTTTGGCAGTGGCATCATGATTGCCCAGTGGTTCCAGCGAAGCTTCGTTGGTTCTGGCGAAGGATTAGAGACTGAATATTTTTGGTAACTTTCCCAACCATACGAAATTCCATTTTTGGGAGTTGCTTGAGTGCAGCCGGCAAAACAGCGAAGTAGCTTGCACAAGATTTTGGTGGAGTCCCTAGGGTCTGTGCAGGATTCTTGGAAGATTCTACAAGCAAGTAGTAATCTTTTTCAATAGTTTCTAAGGTCATGGAACTTGTGCAGCCACCCTTGCATTAAATATAGCTTCAAGTTACTGATGGTGATCTTTTGGTGGAGTCCCCAAGGTTTGTGCAGGATTCTTGGAAGATTCTACAAGCAAGTAGTAATCTTTTTCAACTGTTGCTAAGGCCATGGAACTTGTTCAGCCACCCTTGCATTAAATATGGCTGCAAGTTACTGATGGTAACCAAAACAACATCTCTAGTTAGTTTTTAACAAGATTTCTAGCTTCTGGTTAGCATCAAAGGGTATTGTTCCAACAATCAAGTTTACATCCATGGCTTTGCCACCTAGCCCCTTTTGGCAAAGTCAAACAGCATCATCAGCACCAAACTTCGTTGACACAAACGCCTTATTTCGCCAAATGGGTAGCGTTCACCCATCCGTGCCTGCCAAGCCACTACCCCCATAGTTTATCTCGAATAATTCCCATGAGTTTGGATTCATGGGCTTACATTCATCTACAGTGACAGTAAAACACATGTGAATATATATTCAGAGATTTAAACGTAAAATATATAAATATATGCGGTGAAGAAGGGAACTCCCTTGTGTATTGAAATGGACGATGCAGATGAATGTTCGCTACTCTCATTTATTTGTTGGCCATGGAAAACATCAATCTGTTGCTACTGTACATGGCTGGCATTGCGCCAGAATGAGGAATAAATGGTATAGATGTGTGTTGTGATATGGTTGTCCTAAGCCAAGCATCGTTGGTTAATGATACCTACTAGCATGTAAGACATATGAAATATGTGTCATGAGTCGGGATTACCGACGAGCAGTAATTTTGTCCCTGTATATAGAAGAACAATAATGTGCATGCCTAGGGGTGACAATTTCCCCCGATCCCCAGTGGCCTCATCACAGGGACGGGGCGGGGAGGAATATTCCTCCCCGCGTCGGGAATTTTCTCCCTACGAAATTTCATGAGGAACTTTCCTCACCCCATGGGGCCTCGCGGGGATCCCTATCCCCGCAAAATATTAAAAAAATTTATATTTTAAATTTAATTTAACCTTTAAAATAAAACCCAAAGCCAATTCAATAAAAATTAAATTTTAGCCAACCCAACCCATCATTCTTCTTCCAACCCTAATTTCCTAATCTTACCATTTCCCTTTCTCCTCACTCACGCAGCAGTGTAGCCACAGCTCTCACTTTAGCCCCTCACTCACTCTCGATCTCGGTTGGACAATCAAACTATCACTCCACCTTCGACCTTCCCCTCCCTTTCTTGCTTCTACAATTTCTCCTTACTCACTCTCATGGTCTTACCTTCAATTTTCCTTTTTTGTTGATTTAATTATTTATCTTAAATTAAATTTTATTTATGTTTGATGCAAAAAATATATACTTTGGTATTAATTGGCAGGGAATGGGGATAGGGGGTAAAATTTGCCCCCCATAAAAAATCCCTACGAGGACAGAGACGGGGATAGGGACAGGGACGAGGAGGGACTCCATCGCCCCGTGAGACCCTGTTAACATCCCTATGCATGCTTGCTGACCATGTTATATAAGTATCACAAGGTCCACTATGAATAGCTTCCTCATAGCCAGAGGGACAACAGTGGCTAATTTTACCCATGGCTAGAGCGTGAACTATGTGGAATCGAAAGAGCACCCCCACTAGTCTACCAAGTCATGAAAGGGTAAATCTCACCAAACCAGACTCCACCATAGCGATGGATGTGATAAAGAAAGAGGTGGAGTTGTCTCCATGGAAGGAGGACACCAGCTACATCCATGGCCTCCAATATGACAAGGTGTGACACCACTAACAAATGTTGGCCCTTCTTATCGTACCTGCATCATCAGAGGGTGGTTTTGGTTGTTGTTGCCCGCCAGGCACCGCACCACCATGCATGGGCTACCAGCAAGGGACCGTCAGTCATTACTTGATGGATTTTTATCGTTGGAGGGTAGCCATCCCATCCGATTGCAAGGTTGCAACTGTTACTGACCTCACGCTAATCGTCCCAAGTTGCACTGACTCTTTGTCTGTTTTCAAGAGCTAGTGAGATAAAATATGTAGAAATCTAACTCTTTGTCCGTTGTTGGGAGCCAATGTCATGGAGATATGCAAAGATATGTAGCCTTATAACCATTGTTAGAGGCTAAATAAGATAACGAATCTACCCCTTTGTCCATTGCTAAAAGCCACATGAGTTAGCAATGAATATTGCTACAAGAGACACGACCGTTAGAAACATCCAGCCATGTCATGGAAATAGATATAGCCATGTCCAGCCATGTATATAAAGATGTTGGAGTGGGCTGCATTTTGCAATGTTCCCAACGAAGTATATAGATGCTATTTCTGACGATGTTGACTTTGTTGTAGTAATTAGTAGAAAATAAGAACGGCAGGTCTAATGTGGCAAATAAGTTATGCAGGCCCTTGCTAATGTGGAACTAGACCTAGCAAACGGGTGGGTTGGGTCAAGTTAGGGTCAGGTCAGAACGGGTAACGGGTTAAAACGGGTTGGGTTAAAATGGGTCACGGGTCAATGAAAACAGACCCTAACCCGCCCATCACGGGTCACGGGTCAACCTGCGGGTTGACCCAATTAATTTTTTTTTCTTTTTTTTCTCTATAATTTGTACCTATTATCATTCAAAGAAAAGTATTCAAAAGATTTAAAAAAGAAATTCAACATCTTATAAAAATAATTTTTTTTATTAATTTAATATATACATATTTATAGTTCATCAGAATCACCTTCTTTATTTCCCTTCAAAGAATAG